ACAGAATGGGAAAAAATTTTACCCAGCTGTTGCTCATTTAAATAACACTCTTAAATCTAGAACCTATAAAGAATTGAAAAAACATCAAGTCCCCCAAATTCAAAGACCCAGTCCAAAAATGGGCATCTGAAATGAACTCATACTTCTCAGAAGAAGAAACACAAATGGCAAATAAATACATGAAGACATGCTCAACATCACTGGTCATTTGAGAAATTCAAGTTAAAACAACATTGGGATTCCATCTCACTCCAGAAAAAATGGCTGCCATCAAGAAATCAACCTATACCAAATATGGGCTGTGGGAAAAAAGGAATACTTCTCCTCTGGTGGTGAATATATATTGGTGCAACCACTGTGGAAATCAGTGTGAAGATTCCTCAAAAAACTAGGATTGGAAGTCATTTAATCCAGCTATTTCCTTTCTGGGTATTTTCCCAAAAAAATTGAAAATGCCATGCCACAGCAATATATGTGCCCTCAGCCCAATATGTAATACCTAAATCTTGGAAACAACCAAAAGTCTCATCAACCACAGAATGGATAAAAATGTATTTTTATACAATGGAATATTAATCCGCTCTAAAAAAGGTAATCTTGAGGCTTTCAATTAGACAAACTGAGACAATTTGAGAACATACTCAAAAGTGAAATAAATCAAACTCACATTTATAAATATTGTATTGTCCCCCTAGTATAAAAATAATGAAAATAAAAATCTGAAAGAGTAATAAGATCCAAAATATACAATAAATATTGCAATAATGAAAAGGAAAGTGCTGAACAGGACAGAACAACTAGGATAGCGGAGAGGACAAAAGGAAGAAAGAAAAAGATTATATGTATATTGGTTAACATATATAAATGTATGTATGTATACATATGCCAGAAAGATGACTATATTACTATTCTCTGTTAGTTCATCAAAAAGAACAGTTTGCGCTGTCATTGTTTGACTGATCTGTTTTGTTCCTGTATTTTGCAACCTGAACAACTTCTTCTAATATAACAGTATGCAATATATTAGCTAGTGTTAATTCTCTACTTTTTTCTTAAAATTCTGTATCATTTGTGTCTTTTTTCTGTTTTCTTTTTTAAAATTAAAAAATCACTATATATATTATAAATATACTCATATTTACTCTTTGAGCTTCTCACACTTGCTGGCATATGAGTTTGATTTATTTCACTTCTAAGTACAGACTCAAGTTGCATCTACCATCTTATCCATTTTTGTGGCAAAAAAATAGTTCATTTATTTAAAAAATCACATCTTATTTATCCATTCCTTGGTTGTTGGGCATGTGAATTACTTCCAAGATTTTGCCTTTATAAATTGTGCTGTTATAAACATAGGTGCACATATATTAATATGGTCTGATATTTTTAATTCTTCTGAGAAAATACTCAAAAGAGGAATAGTTGGATCAAATGACTGCTAATCCTAGTTTTTTGAGGAATTTCTACACTGATTTCCACAATGGTTGTACCAGTCTACACTCACACCAACAGTGAAGAAGAGTTCCTTCTTCTTCACAGTTCCTGTTTTCCCCAAATCTCCTCCAGCATTTGGTGTTAGCTAATTTCTTTATAATAGCCATTTTTTCCCATGGTGAGACACAATCTCAGAGTCTTTTTAATTTGCATCTCTTGAATGGCTTCATGTAATATTTGAGTGCTATTTGTATTTCTTTACTTGAGAAATGTGTATTTATCTCAGATACCCATTTTTGAATTGGATCCCTAAATTTGAGATCTAATCTTTTTTATCTCTTTATTGAGTAATTTAAATCATAGAGAATTCAATTAACTAAGAAATTGCAGCCCTGAAAAAAATACCAGTAAAATGAAAAAATATAAAAACTCAATAGATGAGACATGAGACAATACTAGTGTTACTGCATAACTACTGCCTATCCTCAGGATTTATGCTTTTTAAGGAGTGAAGATTTGCATATTCCATTATTTAAAGTCTCCAGACAAGGTGAGGAGATGTTGACGGGCAAAGAGATTCCAAAATGGTTAGCACAGCAAACTCACAAACACTGTAACCTTATGGTAAGACATGAAAATAAGGCTATAACATTCCCATATATTTTTCTTCTTTATTATTTTAAAGAGACTAAAGCCAAGCAAAATAAAACAGAACAAAGCCAATCAAAACAAACCAGTATGAGTGACACGGGACTTCAAAACAATGTGAAATCTATAGTAGTTACTATAATGCCTCTTCTTGTCTTCAAAATAGCTGCAGATACCTTCAGACATTATAAAAATCAAACAAAACAGAAAATAATAGAACCAATGAAAATGAACAATGAATGCAATAAAGGACTTCAAAACAAGGCAATAGTAAATCCAAAAGGGCTACCATAATATATTCTTGCGATCTTTGAAATAGCTGCCCATGCTATCACATATAACAAAGTCAAACAAAAAAAAAAAACAGAATAAAACTCAACCCTACAAAAAAATGAATGCTACAGGACTTCAAAACAAGATAATAGGGAATTAACAATGGCTACCACCTACAGAAGGAGATCCTCCATAGATGTCAAACTGTGTACCGTTATCCTCTGAATAGATGATCAGACCACCAGCCCTAGACCTGCAAAGTCAGTGAAACACCAAACACCATAAGCATCAAGCTGCATTTCACCTAAAGTGCTATTATTTCAGATTGTGTTTCTTGTTTGCCAGCCCACGTGCCGGAAGGGGCTGGGGTCTGGCTGTCTCCATGCGTCACCACCTACACATTGTGCTGGTTCGTGGGCTTGCTTCTTGTTGATTTCTTGTTCTCTACCCCCACAGTTCACAAATGGTACTGACTCATGGGAAAAGGCTAAGATCTGGCTGTCCCACCATGGCAGCATCCCAAGAATGGCCTATATTTATCATGTGTATACTTGCATATTGTACTAATTTTCTTCATCTTTTATCCATATCATTATATACAGGGTATATTCATGCGATAAATTTTCCAATTTAGTACACAATTTAAAGACTCTTCATAGATAACCGTAAACATTTTAATTTTTTGATTTTTTTTTTTTTTTTTTTTTTTTTTTTTTTTTTGGTCTTTTTCGGTACCAGGGATCGAACTCAGGACTGCCTGCTTGCAAGGCAGACGCTTATGCCGCTGAGCTAAATCCCCAGCCCCTATAACCGTAAACATTTTAGAAGAAGAATAAGATCCATGTGGAATTCTAAGTGGGGAATTTTTAAGTCGCTCAAATTACATGGCTTGACTTGACTTTCTTGTTCCTTACTGATACAACCATAGTCAGTTTCTTTGATAGTCTTAATAATATTTCTGGAGCAGGCTATTTCTTGACTCCTTGCTCTGGTCTTTTCTTCCCCTTTCTCTCTTATCAGAGTGATATTTCAAGTCAACTCCTTGTAAAAAAATCCTCACTAGTTCTCACTGTTATCACAATTTATTGTTAAGACAGTTGGCATTGCTGCCTTCCAGCATCTACCCTCCTGCTATATCTCTACTTCTTTTCACTCTTGTTCTCTCTACATTTAACTCCCTACATCCTTGGATTTGTATGCGTGATCTCCTATCCATAACTCTAAATGTTCTTCCTTTGTTGGGCATTTTGTCATCTGAATAACTGGTTCTAATGGTTCAAGGCCCAAATTAAGGATCGCATTAAGGGAAGACTTCTTAAAGCACCCGCAATAGGCTTACTCACACTTTAATACCTACTGCAATGCACTATCATTATTTCATTGCCTGTCATCCCTGCAGGGGATGCACACTCTCACCAGGGCTATACTGCATCCATTATTGTGTGCACAAGCCTTCACTGACACTGGAGCATGGTAGATAATTTGATAGTTAGCCATGACATTCTTGACTGGCTGACTATCTTGCAAGATTTTGGGCTCCATTATTATTAAGATAAAATTCAAATGTCGAATGGCATACAGTCTGACTGTGTTTGAACTCTGAAATTGTGTGACAGTGTTGAGAAATGTAAAAGCTATAAGTGAAGTAACTTAGAACGAAGTGAAGAAAATATGTAGACACTTCCTCTTCTTCCCATCCCCTTGTTCGTGTTCACTTCTTTCTTTTCAGCATGTGATACATTGAGAGTATCAGTAGCACTGTTGATTGAACTACCTGGCTCCTCCAAATTCATATTAAAATTATTTTATCTTTCCATAGATTTGGTGATGAGTCTTGTGTTTTCTTAAATTAACTGACTTTTGATTCTTTATGCTTCATTTCATAGTTCACATATTTATTTTATTACTAAATAGCCTGTGGATTGTACAGATTGAACAATTTTAACATTATGAATGGTATTCCTTATGTAAGTAGTACAATTCCTTTCATATTGCTTGAATACTGCCAGTTAGTGCCTGAATAGTTTCTCTTCCATGGCCAATAGTATAACTTTATATAAAAAGTCTTTGGTTATGTCACTGTCAGAATAAACACACCCTTCACTTGGTCTTTCTACAGTTGTTACTGTCAGGGCTCACTGGAAGTAATTACATGTACATGTAGTAGGTTCTGCACAAAAACATTTCAATCAACCTTGTAAACAACACTCTTCTCAGAATGCTGACTCTCACATGTGGCTACACGCATTGTTCTAAGTGAGTGATCAAATGTGAAAAGCCATTACAACCATTTTCAAAATGTGTCTGCATAGTACTAGTGCACAAGGTAAGATCCAAGGATAGGTTCATGATCATAAGCAATGTCAAATATCAAAAATGTGAGTAGCTTTTTCCAATTACTGTCAGACCACAGAAATGAAGATTAAATATGGAGGTTCTATGACAGCAGTGTGCAACTCCACCGAACATGCTACTGTGTTATATCAATACATCCACACCCCATCACAATCACTCAGCTTCCTGCATAACATGACCAATACACATCATCTCCTTACTCGTTTCCATGTTAATTCAGTTTATACCTGTAATAACTGATACGCACAGAGAACACTAAGGCAAAGCTCTTTTCTTCAACAATATCCATGTCATCTAGTTGATAGTTTTAATGTTAACCCAGATAATTGTCCTAATACTTTTTGCCAGGCCCCTTTCACCTCTTTATTCCTTAGACTATAAATCATAGGGTTCAACATGGGGGTTAAAACAGCATAGAAGATGGAGATCAACTTCTCTTGAAGGATAGAGGGGCTGGAGCGGGGCTGGATGTAGGTGAAGATGGCCATGCCGTAGCACAGGGCAACTACAGTGAGGTGAGAGGCGCAGGTGTGGAAGGCTTTCCTCCTCCCCTCTCTGGACTGGATCTTTAGTATGGTGGAGATGATCTGGATGTAGGACAAGAGAACCAGAAAGAAAGGGGTCATCAGCAGCACAATGCTTGAAACCATGATGGCCACTTCGTTAGAGGAGGTGTCCACACAAGCCAGCCTAACCACAGCTAGGAGTTCACAGGATATATGATCAATGTATTTATTTGTGCACATAGGTAGCTGAAAGGTGATGGCAGTCTGCATGAGAGAGTTAGTGGAGCCACTGACCCAAGATGTGATGGCCAACCTAGTACATAGTCCTGCATGCATGATGGCAGAATACCTCAATGGATCACACACAGCCACATAGCGGTCATAGGCCATCACTGCCAGGAGAACAAACTCAATTCCACCCAAAGCCAGGGAGAAAAACAGCTGAGATGCACAGCTCACAAATGCAATTGCTTTATGTTCTGATAGAAAATGCACCAGCAGCTGAGGGACTATGCTGGTGGCATAAGACACATCCACCAGGGACAGGTTGGTGAGAAAGAAGTACATGGGGCTGTGGAGTCTGCTGTCCAGTCTGATCAGAAGAACAATGAGGAGGTTCCCCAGCACTGTCACCAGGTACATGATCAGGAACAGCACAAAGAGTGAGACTTGAATATCCTGGTCACTGGATAGGCCAAGGAGAATAAACTCACTCACCCACGTCTGGTTATATGTTCCCATCAAAACTGTTAATCTGCAATCAAAACCAGAAATTAAAAATGATGTTTATCAAGAACCATAAAAATATCTATTTGTAAGCATACCTTCATAAACCAGCCAACTTTGTTCAGGAACTTCAGGTTAATGGACTGGCCAAGAAGATAACTTGAACCTAGTATGCTTTATGTATTTAATTTGTGTTGGAAAAACAGTAGAGTACCTTCATGAGAACATGATTCATTATCAGAGAGGTAATGCATTGCAATTCCTATAGCTCTATCATTTTACTAACTTACCTGAGATTATGAGGTAGGGAAAAATGTTATGTGGCAGCAGCAGATAAAATCATACATAATTAAGAAGAAAGAAGTTGGAGATTAAAAAATTATCTGCAGTGAGACTCAGTGAAATGTATAAATCTAAATCAGGGAAAGATTTTAAATAAATAAGGATCTAGGTTTAAAACATGGTTTTCCTAGATAGTTTTATTACATTGGTTCAGAGATAAATATTAATATATAGAGAGCAAAAAAAATGCATACACTCTAATGTAAATAACATATGAGGAAAGTACTTTTGAACTTTTGGTTAGTAGAACAATAGCATCATATAATTGTTCACAGCAATAAGACTTCTGTTTTACAGCAGATAAATCAGCAAACAGGATTACTGCTTCAGCTCTGTAGCAAACAAGCCATTTCAGTAATGCCTATCTCCTGCAAGGACTGGATATCACATACAAGTATGTTTTTACGAACTCTTCCCTAACACACTCCTCAATACCTCACCTTCTCACACTCCCTCCTTTTTCTTTCTATCCTGATACTTCAACTTCCATTTTTATTGCTTTTGTAAAATAATAATCAGCCCAGAAAAAATCAAAAATATCAAATTGGCTCAAAAAATCTAAATTTAAATTCTAAACTCATAAAAATAATTCTTTTTTTTTTTTGTTTGTTTGTTTTGGTCTTTTTCATTTTTACCGGTACCAGGGAGCGAACTCACGACCGCCTGCTTACAAGGCAGGTGCTTATGTCACTGAGCTAAATCCCCATCCCCAAATAATTCATTTTTTAAAAATCTATAAAATGTTCCAGAATATACTGCAGGTCTGTATCTGAGTTAGACATTTTTTCTCCCTTAATTTGGAAAACATATTTGAAGTACCACCTTTGCAAGAAGTGTCAGCATGAATATTACCTTTCCCTGAGTAGATTTAGCAGTTGGAGGAAAAGACACAGAACAAATTGCTGCTGCATCGTGGGATGCTTTCTGGAGCATGGGCAAGACCATGGCTCACTGTGCTCTTTTAGAATGTCATCCATCCCTGCTACAGTCCCATCGCGTTACAACTGAGTGACAGTGCCACATCCTAGAAATAGCATAGATGTCACAGCCCATCAGCTTTTGTTTGAACTGACATTGCTTTCCTCTTGGCACCTAGACAAGTTACTTAGTGTTTTTGAGCTACAACTTTTTCCATCTTCAATACATGCATAAAATTGGCCAAGTGGAAGAGTTGCTGGGGAAACCAGAACTGAAGAATGACAGAGACTACAAGAAGGCCTGAACAGGCAGGTGCCCGTTGTTTAAGAGATGATAAATTAGTCCTGAATTCATACATTCTATCTCTTTTTGAATCTCCTTTTCACTAACTACTCTTCTTTATGACCCTCAGATTATTTATCTCCAGAGTGGCTCCTTCTCTTTATAAAAGAAAATATATAGATGTGTCCCACATTATAAAGATATATATGTGAACAAATTTCTCATTTCGGGAGAGAAAGTTTTGTTATGTATTTATCATTCTTTTTTTTATTTTACAGAGGATAAAAAAAGGAATAAAACCAATCAAAACAAATCAGTGTAAGAGGTACAGTCTAAGAGCATTACAAAATCAACAAGAGTTACTATAATGCCTTTTGATGTCTTCAAATAGCTGCAGATAACTTTGGACATAGCAAAGATCAAACAGAACAGAGCAGAATAGAAACAAAAACAAAACAATGAATGCAAGAAAGGACTTCAAAACAAGCCAATAGTAAATCCAACATTGCTCCCATGATGTATCTTTTTATCTTTGAGATAGCTGTTCCTGCCATCAGATTTTACATAATCAAACAAAACAAAAGAGAATAAAACAAAACCATGGAAACCATATAGGATTTCAAAACAAGACCATAGGGAATCAACAATGCTGCGACCCTCAGAAGGAGATTTCCCCCTGGATATCACACTGCATATTCCTATTCTCTGAACCCATAATCAGACCACTGGCCTTCAACCTGCAATGTTAGTGAAACACCAAAGCACCTCAGGCATCCAGTTGCATTTCACCTCAACAGCTATCATCCCAGCCTGTGTTTCTCCTGATAAGATGGTCGTTTATGGGGGGAGGAGGAGATATATTACTTCTTGTTTGCCAGCGCACACGTGGGAAGGGCTGGGATCTGGCTGTTCCAGTCCAGCAGAGGTGCATGCATGGCGCTGCTTGCCAGACTGGGTTTGCTTCCTCGCTGATGGGTCCTTTGTTCTATATTTATCATCCTAAAACTCTTCGTTTCACATATAGAATGACTGGCGTCCATTTTCTGGATTCATGTCCTATTATTCATGCTGCAGGTCACGCAAGTTTCTACTCTTGTTAGTCAATAAACTTTGAAAACTTGGAAGCTGTTTATAATCTTCTATCATTAATTCTAGAGATCCCGTTGTATCATTCTTACTTGATTTCTAACAGTAATGTCTGACAATTTATTTCTAGGCAATACTAACGATATATTTGTAACACTTTTGTTTCATTACATGTTTATTTCTCAATTATTTCTAACAAGATTAGCTATTCCTTGAAACTCTTAATTCTGTGTTATACTTCTCTCCTGCTTTTCTTTCAGTCTAATTTTCTTCTCTGCATTTCTTAACATCTTCTCTAAATCCTCTGCTCTATTGCTGTGATCATATTCCGATATTCTGTGCTCCTTAAGCATTCATATGCTTTATTAAGCAACTTAATAAATGTTTCCTAAATACCTCACTAAAAATCACGTTCATCTCTCCACAAACTGGGTTTTCTCCTGAGTTTATTTCTATCAATAGAACTAGACTACTCCCATTTCCACAGTGAATTCTGTTTTGTTTTTTCCTCCTCTCACCACTCCACAGAATAAAAGATTTCCTTTGTTTCTTTTAATACATATCTCTCCCTTCTTTCCCTTACTATTCATACACTCTGTGTCTCCTTGCTGCTATGGAATACAAGAAATTGTGTGCTAGATTCCCTAGTATAACCTCCATTCGCTCCAAACATATACTTTATCTCCAAATTAATCATGCAAAAGACAAACATATTCACATCATTTTCATATGCAAATGTATCTATAATGTCTAAGTATATGCAGAATTAAGTTAATGTTGGACAGAAATATTTTCAACTGTCTATAATCTAGTTTTATCTCATTGCTTACTTTGATTTTATTAACTAGCAATTTTTATATTGCTGTATGCATTACAGAAAAAATTATATTGAATTAGCTTCCTAGCACTTCAGTATCTTTCACTGATAACTTAGCTAATGATTCTTTACCCATCAAGATTGTAATTTATTTCTGAAGGCAATTATCTTGATTATAAAATCACATGTTCAAATGTATATTTTCTATTATTTTTGAACCCATGTTAAGGAAAACAAGAATATTGTTGAAAAGTCAAGTGGAGGTAATATGTTGGCTAGATTATTTTAACACACCTCCAGTTAATAGCATCTTCATATTACTTCAGGTTCACCTTGCATCTAAGTATAATTCTGTTTCCACCCTTACTTTACAGTGAGTAAAACAGAGGCCCAGGAATGAGGTTCATGTCTGACTTCTCATCTTAGGAAACTAGAGCTTGGTCTTTTCAGCTGTAACTAACTTGTAGGTTCTATATCTGTCATTAAACCTGTGTTCTTCATTTAAGTAAAAACACTTGGTGCTGGCTGTGGTGGTGCACACCTGTAATTCCAGCACTCAGGAGGCTGAAGCAGAAAGATCCTTGTCTGTTTGAGACCAATCTAGGCTACAAAGTGAGCTCAAGTCTAGCCTGAACTGCATAGCAAGACCTTAACTCAAAACAGACAATTAACTAATTAATTAATTAAAATAAAGGCAAATCTGAGGAATATTTACTGTATTCAAATGTACAAAAATAAAAAGAGAAGCGTTTTAATACAGCATGGGCCCATAGCCCATAGCTCCGTGCTCAGAACACATTTGTGCTAGACAATGAACATAGTTTAGTCAGTGCTATTGAACTTCTCCTCTTACCCAAATCTACTTTATGTTCTTCCCTCCACATTTGTTCAACTGCAAATATTTAATCTGTCTGCTAGACATCTAATGGCCCTATAATAAACAAAAAAATCCTATTTTGCATTCTTTGGATGATATTCAACAAACCTCAAACCATACCTCTCTACATATTTTAAGATGACTTGTCTACTTAAAAATAAACAATCCAAACTGCCAGCTCAGAATGGAGTGCTGGAGAGTAATAATCCTTGCTGTTCATCCTCTTAGAATAAGCATGGGAAAGAAGGGGTTCCTTTTCCCTATGTTTTATGAATTTCACTGAAGTAAGATAACTAATGTGACCATAATGAATAAAACATAGTACACAACAGAATTACAAAGCTGGTGGGTCAGGGAGATAGCTCAGATAAAGGGTTACACGTGCAAGGCCCTGAGTTTGATCCCAAGCACAAGAAAGAAAGAGTAGGGAGAGGAAAAAAGGTAGGAGGGAGGGAGGAAATCAAGAATAAAACATTCTCATTCAAAGAGTCCACGAAAGATCACTAGATCCTTAAAACATTGTCACTGAAACTTGACATTTATTATGCTTAAGTTCAACACTGTGTTTTTTTTTCTGTGAGCTGTTTAACGATTAAATAATGCTAAATGAGCAGTTAAAGATGTAAAGTACCTAAGCTTATTGTGAACGAGTACATTAGCTTGCTGTGACCCTTAAAAATCAGTGAGACCCAA